TTCCAGGGATCCTTGCTTTGATTGTAGCTCATCCAGAGCTTAAGCAATGTTATTTCCGGGGAATTAACATGTAGAAATTTATTATTAATATCATTTGTGGCTTACACTGTGTCGGCTGTCATTAAAATCGTTGACGTACGGAACAAAAATGATTTGCAGTTCCTTGCTTGCGATCGGCTAACTGAGCTCGGTCACATTTTCGAAAATTATTTGTATGAAATTTTTCTAATTATTTGTAGAAAATTGATTTCAACGAGAGAAGCAAATTTGATTTCAAATGTATAGTATATTTAAGCTATTCAATGGATTTAATTTTAACACAAAAGTTCAATATCGCGTGTAAAAACAAGGAAAACATGAGATGTTCTATAATTTCTCAAATAGCTCATCATAAAAATCCGAATTCCTCGAATATAAACAAAAATGCAGTCAAAACCTCCGAATGGCAGCTGCAAGACGCAAATTTATGGTCATCGTATAATTTACGAGGTCCGTGAGAGAATTTCATAATCCAGCGCAAGGGTCAGGAACATTTGGGCTGCTGGGACGTGAGGCGTAAAGGTCGGGCGGCGCCCATGATGCGTGTCTCAGTCGGTGCTGAACCTGCGCCGGGGGAGGTAGTCTATGCGAGCGCTCCTCTCGTAGCTCTCTACTCTTAGTCTAGCTGCTGCTCATAACAAAAATAATCTCTGAACATTTCGTTTTAACAGCTGCGTGATATAAACTTTGTTTTTAGTTTTATATGTCTTTGTCGCAGGTTCTTAAGCGATCATTTGGTTGCATTTTTAAATGTTTAATTCAGATTAGCCATATTTTTGGATCTAAAAAATGGACTCTAAATAAAGTAGTGCAACGTCTAAAACCATTTAGTTGTGATGCTTCAATAATTGTAGTAGTCCGTGGTGAAATATTATTTCTTCGTATTATTTAATTCTCGCACAAATTGACGTATTTCATATACCTTTCTATTTCCCATCGAATATTGTCCCTATTCTGTCATTCGATATATTTTTTAACGGGATTACGACACCTAATATAATTTAAATAATTTATAAAAAAAGGATTTAGCAATCCAGAAATTGGATTGCATATCATATCGAGCTAGTTAAATTCTAGGACCAAATCCCGTAGAGTTAATGTAATATTCGACCGTCTTGCTGCTTATTTGGATTGTCGTCCTTAGATCGAATTTGGTGATGGATTTTTTTTACTATTTCATGGCTCGATCAAAATTTCATGCCTGCGGTTATTTATTCTGTAGAACCAGACAACAAATTAGTCAAATAATTATATTCCATCTGAACTTATCCACGTTGCTTCACCCTTTGCAGCAGGTATTAGACGTTTGATTCAGTTCACGCTCAATTACAAGACAAAATTATTTTACGAGATTAAAATTTTATTCCGTGAGAAATTTTTACTGTTTAGTATTCACGAATAACCATTAATACAAGCCGAATGTGTTAGCGTTATATGGGATGGGCGGTAGCGTTGTTAATAGATCGCGAGTTTAGGTAGTGGCGTTCACATCTTCTTACCATTCACGCTATGGGATTTGACAAGATCGTTTGCGAGTGCGGGAAGCTGCTAAATTTTGTCGTAACCTACGGTGAGTACACTTGAGTTGTCATTAAACTAATTTCAATTCTTATTTCCACACTCTTTAATGCGGACGCACATAATTGAGTTATTGCTGGTTATAGGTATTATTTTTAAATGATGCTATATTCAGAGCATTTCTTCGATAAACAGGCTGGTATATTAATGGATCAATATGAATGTAGACTGGCTGCTTTTTCGCTTGCATTGCCAACCAAAAAAAAAAAATTCGATTTATGTCTGTTATTATTTACTTACAGCTTATATAATTTTGTAGAAATTTCCCGAGTCCCCAATAATTAAATTTCCAAGTAAAACTTTTTTCATAACTGTTCGATGCATGTACTGGCCATCTACAACATGGATTTTTTAGAGGCTGTAGCACGTTTTCTGAACTGACCTATTGATGAGTTACGTATCATGTGTGAAATGGAGAGTTGGTTTGATTTAAAACATTTGATTTAAAACTATTCTTTTTTTTTTGCAAATATGAGGGCCACAACGATAGTTTTTTTTTCATCCTATATATTCCCTTGTGGAAACCTTCTTGTAATGGGCCTCGCTAATGAGCCATTTTCTTGGAAAATGTTCAATGTTTCTTTTGAACGCGATCAGTTAAAACTTTTTATATGTGTATATATAACAATCAAATTAATTTAATCTTGAATTGATATCCTGTACAGGAACCATCTCGTATATGTAGGAAGAGAAACCTCATTCATCTACTTAATAATTCACTATCATCATTATTGATGTCATCATATATATCATACCTGATAAAAACGCGTATAACATAAATAAAATAAATAAACAAATTGTAACAATATTCTTGATGCAGTGTTGGAGCATTAGACACTTTGTTTCTAACTCTAACAAAATTTAGAGGCGCCTCAGCTTTTGGTAATCCAAATCAGAAGCTGCTGCGTCTGTAAATTTTCACTGGGAACTCGCTCGCATGTCGCGCTTGACTGGAGTAGTCGCGAGGGCTGGACTTCGCTGCACGCTTGCGTCCGCGTGTATAGCGTCATGTGCAGTCAGGCGCACGCGAGCGGCATGCTTCGATCGTTCTATTAACCTCTTACCAGGAACAAGATCTTATTTATAAACTTAATCCCCCATTTTATTAGAGTTTGTAAGTATTTTCTTCAGTTCTATTCGCATTATTCCGTGACAGCAAAATACTTTGAATAATTACTTAGTAAATGCGTAAACATCAGTTCGTTGGTTGTCCAAAGATGAGTTGAAGCTCTTAAGACTCCTGCTATAGTAGCCAAATGATCAATGCAAGTTGTGTTATCTAGTAAAGTGTTATTATATATAAAGAAACGGGATTTTTGTCTGATAATCCAGTAACCGCGGACTGGCTACTCAAGGTCCGCGTTGGATCATGTCGGAGAAAAGTTATCCGAGCCTCGCGCGTGTCCAGTGAACGGCCGAAGGCTTGACACTGATGCTGCATTATTGTTTAACCAGCCTCCAATAATACTTGTGTGTAACTCCTACCAACCTAGCGTCCATGGTAATGAGGAGCATCATCACCGACTCGCTCACGGCTCAGGCTGCTGTCCAAGCGCCCGGCTTAGGAAGTATGGCACAACCTTGCGTATTTCTCGAGCATGCGCCGTGTAAGCTTATGCCTTCACACGGAGTATGCGTTGTTTCAAAGCATGAGTCTGGGCTCATGCTTTCATCTGAATAATGCGCAGTGCGAGCTCATGCGTTATGCCTTCACATGGAGCATGCGTAGTCTGGGCTCATGCTTTCATCTGGATAATGCGCAGTGCGAGCTCATGTCTCATGCATGCCTCAATTAGGCACGCAAAGCACCCCTGCTTGTCACTCCCTGAAACCCTTCATATCTCGAGCACCTTCTTGTTTGTTGTGCTTTTCTTGCCTGCCGACATGCGCGTTTGGTTATGTAATCTATAGATCACCACCGTGAGTTGAACTATACAATTAACGTTTTCCTGCTAATCTTTTTCACGATTACCACGGACGTTAGTTAACTTTGCGGAACGGTGGAATGGACAGTAAAATAGTCAAGGAGTTAATTCTGACCGGCCGTTCCCTAGCTGATATCGACTCGCTATGGATTATTGAAAATACTGATTTTCCTTGTGCCCTTCAACTTGCCCGGCTGGGGGATGGAGGAGGGGGAGCCTTGTGTGCCTCTAAATAACACAAATATATTTTATTTAATTGAATTTTTTTCAAGGTTGGGCGTTTAATTTGTAATGTTGGATGATTGAGTCAAAATAGATATTTTTTTGTATCAATTGAGCCATAATAGATAATATTGTTTTTTTTTTTATATCAAGCTCCCTATTTTAGAGTTGACACAAGTTATTCAAATTTTAGGTTTGGGAAACTAGAAACTGGTCGCACAACTATAAAGAAGAAATAAATATGCATTTCTGATGTATGTTATCATAGAATGATGATGAGTCTTCCAAATCTTGATAGATTTACTGATAATTCGCCAGTAATTCTTCAATGAGAGTATAAAGCGAAAGCGAGACGCAGCGAACAGACGTGCGCACCAGTTGCTGCTACTCTGCTAGGTCAGCTTGAGGCCGTCCAAGGTCTCTACGAGTACTTTGAGAGGGGAGGGTGAGATGAGGGCTCAGCGGCAGCAGAGATTTTTTCAGTTCATATTGCAGCTCAGCGGCAGCAGGGATTTTTTCAGTTCATATTGCAGCTCAGCGGCAGCAGAGATTTTAATCTACATATTTGTGTTCCCCGTAGCCAGCTCCCACGGCACCGTGATGTTGACTGCGTATCTGCACGCGCGTATCTGCGTCATTCACGGCGGCGGTGATGTGCCATTTTCTAGCCATCGTTATCATTCTGTCAACGAATTGAATTCGTCGTTATTTATTGACTGTCATAATTATTAGGTAGTTTATGAGGAAGATTTTGATGCGGCAATTGTAACTTTTCCATTGAATAAGAAGTGCTTAATGCACGTGGCGGTTGATCATCTCCGATAAGTACCCAAGTTTCCTTTCGGTAACTTTAAAAATGATAGTTTTATGTTCGTCAGCTCAATTTCAACAAGTAACCCGCAATCACTGCCTTTTCTTCAGTGGAACGATTTCGTATATAAGTATTTTCTATTGGAGCAAATTGCCTACATATATTGAACAAAATATGTGTGCAATTACTACGTTTTAAAATGCCAATCGAAAACCCAGGAGGCACATAAAAATTAGCTGGTGCATTTAAAGTGTTTGAATGACAGCAGTCGTGGAGTAGTAGTATCATAATCTTAAGCTATATTAATAATATGTATGCGGGAAGGCACAAAAAACTGGTCTCGTACGAATTATCAGTCATTAAACTTGATAAAAATAATGTGTTCGTAATATTGATAAATCAATTTTGTATGTTGTGTGTATCAGGTAACAAGAAGATGGAGTACAAGGCCCGGCAGTGGCATGAGAAGTGCTTCTGCTGCTGCGTGTGCAAGACGGCCATCGGCACGAGGAGCTTCATACCGCGGGAGCAGGAGATATACTGCACGGGCTGCTACGAGGAGAAGTTTGCTACGCGCTGCATCAAGTGTAACAAGGTGAGGGTAGTGAGGGTACTGAAGTGAGGGTAGTGAGGTGAGGGTAGTGAGGTGAGGGTAGTGAACTACTGCACAGGCTGCTACGAGGAGAAGTTTGCTACGCGCTGCATCAAGTGTAACAAGGTGAGGGTAGTGAGGGTAGTGAACTACTGCACAGGCTGCTACGAGGAGAAATTTGCTACGCGCTGCATCAAGTGTAACAAGGTGAGGGTAGTGAGGGTAGAGATATACTGCACAGGCGAAGAGAAGTTTGCTACGCGCTGCATCAAGTGTAACAAGGTTAAAATATGAAGATTTGAGGAAAGTTGTGCGAGGGTAGCCAGACTAACAAATTGATGGTGGTAAGGGTGACAGGTTGAGGGTGAAGATAGCGGGTGAATTGAGAATAATATGAGAATGTGAGTAAACCAAGATGTAAACAACGATTGTGTGAGTGTAAAGGCACCGAGTAAGGTCTGTTTTTGAACATGCATGATGTACTAGTTTATGAGCGCTGGTCTGGTGGTACCTCGCATACATACAAGTTTGATCGCCACATAGTTGAACTATATAAGGTTGACCCACGAGGATTTTCGTCTTTCAGTTCAGCTTTCTTGTTGCGTCACTGAGATCGAGAAACGTAAACACTCCCGTCAATCCCACGATGGATTGGTTGACTGGTTTCATCGCATTTCGGTGAATGGTTAACGCCTGTGACGTCACTGATTTCAGTGACGTTACCGGAGAACTACAAACCATATCTGCAAAGATTAGCTTCTCATGGGTCAACCTTATACTTTTTTAACCATCATCGCTGCCCTCAGATCATCACGTCGGGCGGCGTGACGTACAAGAACGAGCCGTGGCACCGCGAGTGCTTCACGTGCACGAACTGCAGCGCTTCACTGGCGGGGCAGCGCTTCACTTCGCGCGACGACAAGCCGTACTGCGCTGAATGCTTCGGCGACCTCTTCGCCAAGCGCTGCACTGCCTGCACCAAGCCAATCACAGGTACCGTCTAGCGCTGCACTGCCTGCACCAAGCCAATCACAGGTACCGTCTAGCGCTCCACTGCCTGCACCAAGCCAATCACAGGTACTGTCAGGCACTGCACTGCCTGCACCAAGCCAATCACAGGTACCGTCAAGGGCTGCAGTGAAGGCCATATGATAGTCTATTTCTAAGCAGCAGTGCCCCGATGTGGCCGGATGTTTATGATCACCAAGATTGGAGCCGAGTTGCGGGTTCAAAAGCAGGATCTGGTTGTGAAAATTCTAGTCAAAATCGGCGAGGCGGCCGGTGGGTTTGAGAACAGCAAACAATAAGCACAGAAACTCATGGGTTTGGCCTAAAATCCGCAATTTGTCGAACGTGGCTCGGGGCCTAATTTTTGAAGCCGATTTATATGATACATGCACTTGAAAAGGCTATGAGTATTGAGTAACTTATGTGATTTTCTATCGTCTTCTATTTCATTTTTTTCCCTATAAATTTTTTCAGTTTTTCTTGTACATTGACATTTGATTATTTACATCTTGTGTATATATCTTAAGTTGGTAAGATTAAGATATGTAACCAATTTAAGACAGAATGAAATTAATAATTTTCATAAATTTTTGTCAAAAAAACTGGCATGTATTCCATTGCTAGGATCTTCTTGGAAATTTCACATTAAATTGTTATGTATCTCGGTAATTATTATGAAGATGGTTTACGATGTCTCATGGAAATTTTGAAATAGGCCTTAAAGATGTTTAATGTTCCATTTTAAACATGTTTGTTTAAAAATAATGCCAGTTTTATTATTATTTATATTTTTATAAATAATAATTATTAATGCCAGTTATATAAATAACTGGCATTATTTTTAACCAAACATGTTTAAATAAACGGCTCTAACCTAAATGTTCCATTTTAAAGAATCAAAAATAACCTACACATATTTTTCTGTAAATATTACCTGCGGATAAACTAAATTACATCATAATATCCATGTGCAGGCATCGGCGGCACGCGCTTCATCTCGTTCGAGGATCGTCACTGGCACAACGACTGCTTCATCTGCGCCATGTGCAAAGGCTCGCTCGTGGGCAAAGGCTTCATCACGGACGGCAGCGACATCTTGTGCCCAGAATGCGCCAAGCAGAAGCTTATGTAAAGCTTTTTGTCAGCCGCAATCTCTCTCTCCTCATCGAGACGATTTATATACTTCGATCGTTAAACTTAGCTGGCGAATAATACGTCTCAGGCAACAACATCCTAACCAACGGAGGGCTTCTGATAGAGATAGATGTCGAGATGTAACTCAGATATACCTATACCAGAAAGTGCACTTCATTTATTCTAGACGGTTGGTTCCTTCACGATATCACTGCGGAAGAAATACTGCCAGTTGCTTTGTTTTGTACTGAAACGCGCTTTTATGAAAGCTTTTCTAAGGTAGGCGCGTCAGCTTCATGTTTTCTAGTACGCATTAGTTCCATCTCACCGAATTTGAATGCTAGAACGGAAGAGCCTTAAACACTTTGCTCTAGGAGACGCCCCAGCTTTGAGCGTTGTAGGGGTGAACCACATGACGTGGAGATGTTGACCTACACGCCCAGCGCATATTCTCGAATGTTGAAAGTAGTAATGACAGCTTATGTGTGCGTCGGTATGCCTGTTGCCTTCTATGTCAATTCATTATTAAGCTTGGCAAATGAAGTTGCCTTATTAGCATAGGTCGAAAGGGCACCCTGATCTTCTTAGATTTAGTTGGAGCGCCTGAAGAGTTGAACCAGTTTCTTTTTCTCGCTCACTCGCTAATTTCTGCCAGAAATTTCGCTCCGATCTTCTTGCGAGCAGCGGCTTAACTTGGGTTCTGAACTATGGCCTTCTGAATCATAATGGTTAGTCTTCTTCCCAATTTCTTAGTTGTTTTACCGAAGTAAAACCTACATAATTATTAGGTTTGTATGCCTTAGTTCTTGAATATATTAAAGAAGCTCGATGGAAGATGCGGGAGTTTCTTAGGGCTGGAGACTTCCACTATCTTCTATCGTTGCCCGTGCCTGTGAATGCACAGTTGCAGGTGCTGTGCCAGTTACTGCAGTTGCAGGTGCTGCAAACCTGCTTCCACTGTGTGCGTACCCTTATAGAACAATCTTGTGATCAGCTTTAGGATCCATACTTACGTATAACCGTAGAATCCATACATCGGACGACATCCTAATAACATACAACTCCTAGCACCGTCCACTTTGGATTGTTGGATTGACATCCAACAATCATACGTAGTACATATTGCACGACTGGGTACACAGCCTAATCACGTTACTAAAACTACCCAAATGTGTTTCACACAGGGAATGGTAAAAACAATTGCCTTGAACAGAATATTTATGAAAAGATCTTTGGTAAAGGAGAAGCCTTGCTTGATAACAGGATAAAATGCTAGTTCACCTGCCTGTGCACGCGCAACTCCTGACACTGATCACGGCCCACACTCAATCGCAATAAATATTTGTAGAAGAATTATAAAAATACCTCAAAAATGCTCTGCTTGATATGACGGTAGCCATGCAGCACAGCGCACATAACACAGCCCGGCCTTGAGCTCAAACTCTTGGCGTCAAGGGCCCATACTTTTAAAAAAGTTAAGAGATCGTAAGTTCATCAGCCAATCATTGACGGCCTTTTCAAGCAAAATCCACCAATCATAGACAAGAAAATAGAGCGTTATTACTTACGTTCACTTAGCGAATTTTGAAAGTATGGCCCAAGTAGGCTAACTCGTGTAGATATACAACGGGGATTCTCAAGTCGCTACTCCGAACTGAGAACATATTTAATCTTACAAGTAAATACCACAAAAATCACGTATTCATCGAAAAAATTTAGAGGCAAACTTAGGGATACAAATAATCAGAAAAATTAATATGGCTGTATATAAATGAGACACAGTCGTAAACTTGATAAGAGTATAAATACTGGGCGAATTATTGCATCTGAAGCCAACAAATAATAATTTAAGACAGAAACATTATTATTTTACGTAGCATCAAAAATTATGCTAACATTACGGCCTGGTCTCGTAATTCGTCTCGACGTCTTGAAAGTAAAATGAAAAAGCTAGATTGCCAGCCTCGATAAATTGAAACATCAGCACCAGCGCCGAACTGAGCAAGTTTTGGCTCACTTTCACAGTTCGTAGTGGCCACAGCCTTCACATCCGCAAATATCAGGGGAATTAAATCATTTAATTCAGAAAATGAAAGTAATGAAGAAGTAAATACGTAATCTTAAATGAAGTAAATTCAAACGTACATGAAGTAAACTCAATATGAAAAATGACATCTTATTTCAGTAACAGTTGCTTCAGAAAGTTCCTAAGACTCTACTTCTTAGTAATAATAAAATATTTACATCCAGACAACAACCGCCGATTTAAAGCTAACGGCTATAAAATGACATATAAAATTTATGAAGACATTTACAATAGATAGGAAGATAAGATTATAGGAAGATAAGATAGTTTTCAACGAAACACCGAAGCCACATCAAGAATAAGCTGAAAACTGGCAACAAAATCAGCAAGTGCTCTGCTGAAAACTGATAACAAAATTAATCATCTTTATAAACAGTGATAAGAGCAAGATATGACGAACTCGAGCATGCTAAGAGTAATAGAGAGCCTCTAACAGGATATGACTGGAATGTCATCACCAATTGTGAGAAATAAGTAGCAATAGCTACTTATTTCTCTTATATAAGCACCATGAAATAGTGTCAGAAAATACCGGCATATCTCCTGGCGACCTGCAGCAGACATGGGCAGAACCGTCCGACCTGCAGCAGACATGGACAGAATCGTACGACCTGCAGTAGACATGGGCNACAACTCAAAGAGATGCCAAGTTACAATATAACTCAAGGAGATGCCAAGTTACAATATAACGCAAGACGCGCGTGCTGCACATGTTACAACTGCGACCATCTTTCTACGTTGCGTTTTTTTCTACTATATATAAAGTTACAACAAGCTTTAATCACCACATGTAAATCTCGAACACATTCTAATAGCAGTAGACTTATTCTAGATATGCCCACAAATAGAAGCACAAAATGCAATAAACTCCGAAAAAATACTCTAACTACGATCCAACAGAGAGAAAAAAAACTAGAAATAAGTTGCGAGGAATGTTCTATGTATAAGTTCTTCCTTACATAATTAAGACTTGACTGGCAAGAGAAGGCGTGTTAATTAAACATTCAAGTTTTCACACATCCTATCATTTCGCAGGTAGGTTAAAAAAATAGAGTTTTGGATCGACCCCAGAAGTGCAGCTCGATGATCTGATATTGACCTTTAGTATACAAATGCATAAACGTTGTCAATGTTATTCGTAACTGAAACCTTGGTAACAAGTTAACATCAGACAGACGACCAAGCCAGACGGATCTTTGAAAATTTATTGAGTTTGACGCGTTTGTTTCATCAGAGGAAGCATAACAAACAGCAACATAGGTTGATGTTCTAAACGAGAAAAACTGTCAGAACTTGAGAACAGGAAGAAGCCAATTGAACGTGTTTACTTTAGCAGCTGCAAGACTACAGCTGCTGCAAGACTACAGCTGCTGCAAGACTACAGCTGCTGCAAGACTACAGCTGCTGCAAGACACGCAAATGAAACATAACGAGCAGCTGGCGAGCTTCAGATGCAAGGAAGACAGCCAGTCTTTCTTGACATCGAGGCACTGCAGCAAGACACAGGTTAAGCTCACGTGAAATTCATGTTAAATAATAGAATAGTAAACGAAAAACAATAATGATATGGTAAAGAGATACCATTGTTATAAAGCCTAGCATTTGTAACCATTTAATGGTGATGAAATGCGTCACTGATATTTATACAGAACGTGAATCCATGCCTAAAGAAAAAAACACAAACAAAGCTCATACATGATGCTCGTTTAATACAAATCATCTACCCTGACATACAGAATAACGTGGTCTTTATTTAGCGCGTAGACACGAAATAATGAATTCGTTCAACTTCAGTCAACATTTCGTTCACAACAGCGCCATGAAATATCAGGAATACCAAGAAAAACTTGAGAAGTGCTCACAAAAGGACAACCGATGCTACCAATAAAGGAGTAACCAGTTACCAGCAGCGAAGGGATCTCAAATCGTACCAACATATTTAACATCATTGAGTGGCTGCAGTGAAAGACGATCGCTATTAGCAGCGTTTTAGGCCGGTATAGGCGGCCGAGGCCAGGGCCCATACTTTAAAAAAAATCGTAAGTTCATCAGCCAATCATTGACGGCCTTTCAAGCATTTCCACCAATCATAGACAAGAAAATAGAGCGTAAGTAATTACGTTCACTAAGGCAGTTTTGAAAGTATGGGCCCAGAATTATAACTTTACATTACGTCAGGAGTCACATAGACTCTTTGGCGATTTTTAGGTTTAGAATGTGCAGCTCAAAGTACTATTTAGAATGGGACTTTATCTTCTTGCTTTCAAATGAGGTATCAAGATGCAAATTTTAAAAGGTCCAAGTGACAACGGGCGAAAATGCGAGTAAAATCAAAGGTCGAAACAACATGGACGTTCTGGCAGTCATCCTTGGTCGTTACCACAAAATATTTTGACGTTCGCAGCGTCAAAGCAACCCGAGCAAATGATGGCAGTTGCGAAAACATGGACATAACAGAAAGTTTGTAGTTATTGTACTATGTAGCGTTCACCAGCAAGTTTCAATTGATAACATCAGGAGTAGCAACACGTGAACTGCAAACATTCGGTCATTGTAAAGCTGCTAAGGCATTTTAGCTACAGCCCCGTCAAGAGGGACCTCGCGTAATCTGATCTTTTATATTCTTGTTTATTTCATCTTGGACAATTGGAAAGGCGAATTATCCTAGGTGCATTCAAATAACAAGGTGTTCTAATAGTCCATTGCACTGTTAGAAAAATTACCGTTAACGGTATTACCGGTGTTTCAGTGGCCGGTCAGCACGTGAAAAGAAACACCGTGTCACCGTTTTTATTCTAATTTAACACAAGAAATCCGTAAAACATCTGATAAAAACGGCGAAACAGTTTATTTTCACGGGGCGACCGGCCACTAGAACGCCAGTAGGACCGTTTTTTCACCGTTTTTTCTAACAGTGTGGATGCGTACTTCATCTATGTACTTGCATTTAGGGTGACCAGCATGGCTTCACAGCACTGTAAGCTGGCACACTATATCCTTAATACTTTAACAACAAGGAGATCGAGTAATGGCTAGCGAGTATATATACGTACAGACAAATGGACAGCAAAAGTGAATATAATGAAGAATATATACAGCTAAAAGTGGTAGTGTTTCAATAAGTAAAGTTGCATCAGAATTTTGGGCGGTCATTGACCACCTGTATGTAATAACGGCCTGACGCTGACGCGTTCACGCCTCAGGGTACGCACACAGTGGAAGCAGGTTTGCCCGCGCGGGCAACCTGATTCAACCTGCCACAAGAATGAACATAGGATAATAATGTAAGTGTTCACAGTGAAAACCTGTACGAACAGGCTTCTGTATTCTATGGTTTCAGGCGCAAGCCTGAGCAGGTAACCAGCACGCTGGCAACCTGCTTTCACTGTGTGCGTACCCTCACAAGGCCACACCGAGCATCGGCTCACTAAACAGGGCCTATACTTTCAAAAAAGTTAAGAGATCGTAAGTTCATCAGCCAATCATTGACGGCCTTTCAAGCAAAATCCACCAATCATAGACAAGAAAATAGAGCGTAAGTACTTACGTTCACTTAGCGAGTTTTGAAAGTATGGCCCCAGCTCGCAACGATGTTGTAGACGAGATAATGGTTATGCAATCCCTACCAGGCATCTGCCCTTAAATCAACGTTGATAAGTGTTAAAATGTTGAATATACGTTGATCACTCGTGGTATCAACGTTATTTGCCTAGGGAACTGGTTGCCTTTTTTGCTGTGTTCAGCAAGATTTATAAACTCGTAGAAAGAGTTCAGTGTTCTTCGTGCGATACAAGAGGAAAAAATAGGCGATATTTAAGAACGGATAAGGGGAAAGAACATTTTTGATAGACGGTAAAGTTTGACATTAACATTCTGTTTGCTGGAAGTGATGGAGTAGCGCGATTTCTAATCTCAGTAATTCAACAACATGACGCCGACAAAAGGTGACGTGAGTATTTCTTTTTTCATAACTCACTCATACGACAATTCTAAAGCAACGAAAAAATTGTGCCGTAAATGGAAATAATGCAGATAAGGAGTTGGATACAACGGCGCCACAAAAATGACAGGAAGCTACCAGACACACTAGAATTGCTCATGTCAACACGACGGCACCTCGTCGTCACAGAAGAAGTTCTCTATTGAAATGAACTCTATTGAAAGTGTTCAATAGTGGCTATTGAACACTATTGAAAACTATTGAACCATATTAATATAAATCAATGGGAATTTTCCATACAGTGGGCCACTTACAATCAAGGCTGTGGCTATTGAACACTATTGAACCATATTAATATAAATCAATGGGAATTTTCCATACGGTGGGCCACTTCACTTACGAACAAGGTTGACTAGTGTTGTAAAATGTAATGGCACGCACTAATGCAACTAGCAGCGTCACACCCCAAGAGCTGGGAAGCCTTGCCCGCTTGCAGGAGACTAGAATAATAAACAATTTAATCATCACATGACTGAGCCTACAATAGGAAGCGACCAAGCAAGTTTTGACTAGTGCACATGCTGGCGACTTTAATATACCAGGACTTTTGTCTCGCCACATCTAGGATACATGCCGGTGACTTTGTCTTAGTATATTCTTAGATTTATATTCTTAGTATGTTACTAAGATTTATCTAACATTTCTGACCCATGAACTGTTCGGCCGCTAGCAGGCCAGCACAGCAGCTAATGCCACTCAAGATGCTCTTATTTTTTTATATAAGAGCATTTAAATCCATTATTGAAATATTGAGGATACCAAACACGGTAGCAATCATTTGAACATATCCGCAATAGTTTGTACCTTCATACTGGATTAATAATTGATGCTATTCAAAATAGTATGCAAAAACTATGCTACAAGCTTGCTTGTCGCCACCGCTAATTTGGCAATTGATCACATTATATCACACGAAAAAGACATGGACATGGGTAATTGGGTAATAATTACATATGAAATATAAATGAATTAAGATTAAATGGAAAGAAAACACCAATTTCATCTTCATACATAAAAATTTGCGATAGATATTCACAAATTATGCGATATCATCACTGAACACTCGCGTCTCAGACGTATCGCAGGTACAGCATCTTGTACGTACAAGGTATCGCAGGTACAGGATCTTGTACGTACAAGGTATCGCAGGTACAGGATCTCATACCTCCTGCCGTATGCTAAGTCAAGAGTGACGCTGTGAAGTTAAGACCTGTGTGAAGTTAAGTGACGCTGTGAAGTTAAGACCTTAACTTCACCTGGGGTGAAGTTAAGACCTGGGCCCAAACTATCAAAAATATTTACCATTTCGTAACTCTCTCAGCCAATCACTGATAAATTTCCAACCTAAACAATGCAATCACAGACGAGAAATCGGCCACTACATGTAGAGGAGCTAGTTTTGACAGTATGGCCCCTCATCCATAGGATAAGTGCAGACGGCGCAGTGACAGCATCAGTGACAGCATCAGTGACAGCATCAGTGACATCATCAGTGACGCAGGCGTCTCTAGCGCAGCTCCGATGTAGCTTGCAAATGACAACACCACGAAGCTATACATCGTAATTAATTAGCTATCCATCACGCCCACCTGAAACAAATAATGAAACATAAAACACACGACAACATCTAGCAAACTATGAAGTAAATAAGCGTGTGCATCACGTCTAGACGTTCAGCACGGAACTCAGACGAAGGACCGTCAAGTGGGGTGACTTCGGCCACCACTACAACATTAACAAATGGCAGCAAAACAAAATAATAAACGTTGGCCAAAGTGACTGGGGTGACTTTGGACACCGGAGTGACTTTGGCCAACGTTTATTATTTTGTTTTGCTGACATTTGTTTATGTTGTAGTGGTGGCCGAAGTCACTCCACTTGACGGGATGTCTCTCATGCAGAACACGTATAACAACATAGAAATAAATATCATTGAGGAAATGGTAATATAGAAAATAATAAATAATATAACACAATAACCCACCATATACAATCATGCCTACATCAAGAGTCGCCAAAAGATATATTAGAGGCAGTGGCGAGTAACAATAATTCAACAATTCATTCATGTATTCTATTCCTAATACTTCATGCATAGAGATTATCTTAAAAACATCAACAACATTCAAAACAATGAAGATATAAAGTAAAGTGAAATATATGGGATGATTATAGCTAGCAAGGGGAAGAAATTGATCAGATCAATGCAAGATCAATCTGATTCATCCCCAACACCTGTGTTGGGGAATTGCTTTCTGGAATGAGGGGAGACTTGTGGGGAATAGAGTGGCAGGGATGAAAGCCATGCGACCTAACCAGTCCTATTGGGGGATCTGTGTGGGGACCATCTCATTGGGGATCAGTGTGGGGACCATCTCATTGGGGATCAGTGTGGGGACCTCCTCATTGGGGATCAGTGTGGGGACCACCTCATTGGGGATCAGTGTGGGGACCTCCTCATTGGGGATCAGTATGGGGACCTCCTCATTGGGGACCAGTGTGGGGACCATGTCATTGGGGATCAGTGTGGGGACCTCCTCATTGGGGATCAGTGCGGGGACCTCCTCATTGGGGATCAGTGTGGGGACCTCCTCATTGGGGACCTCCTCATTGGGGATCAGCGTGGGGACCTCCTCATTGGGGATCAGTGTAGGGACCTCCTCATTGGGGATCAGTGTGGGGACCTCCTCATTGGGGACCAGTGTGGGGACCTCCTCATTGGGGATCAGCGTGGGGACCTCCTCATTGGGGATCAGTGTGGGGACCGACATTTCCATTAATTCGAATCTATGTAGGAAGTGAGTAAAGATATTTATTAACAGACAGAAAATTTTAGGAATGGTGTAAAAAAATAATATGAGATCACAATGTTGAGGAATTGTGTAGTCATGATGGGTGGATTAAATTTCATAAATTGTATATATTTATGAATTGTACAAAAATATGGGCAGCTCAAAATGAAACAAGCATGCGACACGAGGGCTGTATCTCCACGGCAAATCATAGGCATCCAAAGGTCATAGCATTCAATTAGCTACCAATACTCCGGGAATATTTTTAAAAAAGACTTTCATGCATGACCAGAAGAGATCATGGAGACTGAGGTAAGATGCAAATCTATCACGACACAAGCTCCACAAAACGTTCAACAACAAACATCGTCATGATGTTTGTTGTCAAGAGGCTGCATAATCTGGTCGACGGTAGCTACGAGCAGTCGGGCGGCAAGAAGAATGCATTAAAGTTTCCTGACCACTTCGCGTCCTTCCAAGCCATTAATTAGTTTTCTTACATTAAAGGGGCTGATATCAAATATGGACTTACAGGAACTTCCTCCATAAGACTTTTATTTGTGATCACTTTGTACTGCCAGATCGATAAGCATCGTTTATAGCTTTGGGGCCAAATCGAACACTCATACTCGAACTTTTGCCGAAGTTCACTTCCAATTCGTACAGAATAAATAGTTCTTGCAAAATTTGATATAACAACTGATGGTCGTGTGAAATTTAGGCCAACAAGAGTAGGTTTATTTTTTATCGAATAGACATCAAAACTTGCATCAAGGAGCCATTTTTCTGGCCGGCAAATGAGTAGGAAATTCTATTGAGGCACAGGCGCAAAATGACTCATTGCTTAGAGGCTCATTACCTTAACCGGAACTTACTCTTAGTGAATTGAAATACTTATTATTTCATCATTCTTTTTGTGTACAGATTGTAATACATTTTTTGCGTATTGTTTGCGTTTCTATATGCTTATTGTCGTCGCCTGGCTAGCCCAGCTTAGCCAGGCGGCTGTGACTTCGCCCTGGCGTCGCGACTGAGGAAGCTCTTCCTGCCGCCAAGACCTCCGAAGCGCGCCAGTCCCCCCGGGCTGCCCAGCTTCATGCTGCCCATGAGGCCCCTCGAGACCTTCACGGAAGACGCCACATTGGAGGGCTCTGGCAACAAGGGCGCCGCTCCTCTGTACGTATTGCTGCCCATGAGACCCTTCGAGGCCTTCACGGGCGACGCCACATTCGGAGGCTCGGTCAACAAGGGCGCCGCTCCTCTGTACGTATTTCCAGCACCAGCGCCCCCTCGGCTGACAGGGCCGTCAGCTTGCCAGGCGGTGCTCTGAGCGACGCTCGCCTCAGACTCACCCCCACAGGCGCTCATGAGCGGAGTTTTCTGTTGTCTGAGCAGAGCGTCGCAGTCCAGCCTCAGCACTCTCAGGGCCTCCCGCAGGCTTAGGTTCTCGTCAACGGTGGCGCGTAGCTGCGCGTTGCTCAATTCCAGAGCCTCGCGTAATCTTGTCACCTCCTTCGCCAGACCGGGGGCGTCACTAGCCTCTGCTGGGGCGCCACGGGCGTCTGCTGGGGCGCTAGGGGCGCCTGCTGGAGCGTCTGAGATGCCGTGGCTCGCTGCAGTTGTAGCTGCAACAATACAACAATATTATAACAAAGGAGAAAGTCCTTTGAGATGAAGTGGAAGCTTCACGAAGCTATATATCATGGAAACATAGGCAAGAGAATGAGGGGTTAACTTTGGCAGCCTAGTTTTTAAAAAATTATCAGCATCATCACACGAAAATTAAAAAAAGTACACGACACATTTAATGAGGTGAAAGTAATGTAGTAAATACAGGTATACAAGAATAACCGAGGTCTTATAAATCAATCGCCACGAATTACTAAACTTGATCATAAACTTCAGCGGCGGAAGTTAAATTTCAGAGTCTCAACGTGCTTGTAAAACTGACTTCAATCCTGTTAGCCGTCCCGAGATGAAGTGCACACATTCTGATCTATGCAAATGATGATAATAAAAATACCTGACAGTATTCCTGACTTTTGTTTGCAATAAAGTTATTAACTAGTGCCTCCCAGACTTAAGGGAGCGAGCGCCCACCGACCTGCCCGGCCAGGCAGGACGACGAAGGTTCCCGCAGCGTCGCGCTGCAGGAGCAGCGCCGGCACCAGCAGCCGCTTGACGCCCTCAGGCGTCCCCGGCAGCGCCCCCGTCACGTCCTCCCGCACCACCAAAGATGTGTTGAACACCTCCACCTGCACACGAGCCATACATAATACAGAGTGTTAATGCTTCATACATAATAACGTAACAAGTTCAATATAAATAAAACGAACACACACGGGCCATACATGATACATAGTGTTAATGCTTCATACATGATAACGTAATAAGGAAGACCACGAACACACACGGGCCATACATAATACCTAGTGTTAATGCTTCATACATAATAACGTACTAAATTCAATAGAAGACCACGAACACAAACGGACCATACATAATTCATAGTATAAATGCTTCATATACAATAGCGTAATAAGCTCAATTAAAGACAACGGATGGATTTTATTAATGATATTTTTTCCAATAAGTCAAAAAATATTTATCGGTGGTGTTAGTAGATCAAAAATCAGGTAACCGAACGCCATGAAATTGGTCATATAAGATCCTCAGACTGGCCATGACAGAGGATATAAGAAGAGTATAAGACCCTCAGACTGGCCATGACAGAGGACATAAGAAGAGTATAAGATCCTCAGACTGGCCATGACAGAGGACATAAGAAGAGTATAAGATCCTCAGACTTAAGATCCTCAGACTGGCCATGACAGAGGACATAAGAAGAGTACAAGATCCTCAGACTGGCCATGACAGAGGATATAAGAAGAGTACAAGATCCTCAGACTGGCCATGACAGAGGACATAAGAAGAGTATAAGATCCTCAGACTGGCCACGACAGAAAAAATAAGAAGAGGTCGCCAGAGGCTCCATACCGAGCAGGCAAGAGGCTCGGGCGGGAGTTCGTCCTGCAGGAGGTCAGCGAGTCCTGAGAGCGACGACAGCAGGAGGTCCAGGGACACATCCCCCACCACCGCGTGCAGCTCCTGCACCACCTGCACCGGCAGCTCCGGCACGCTGTACCTGCAACACCGCCTGCACCAGTCAATAATTGAACCACTCTTAGAAATTAGCTTAATATTAACATAACATAAACTTGATATTAGCAAGAGTATTATATATTAATAGGATGCTTGTGATGAAAAATCAGGACAGAGACAGCAGTTCTCTCTCGCTGAGAAAAGGTAGTGAAGAGGAACTTTCACAAGCGTGATTTAGGGCAAATATAAATTATCGCAACATTATATGAGCCGGACAAATACAACGCAAAAATCTGCATTTCAAAACGACGGGTTTTTTAATTCTATCTAACAGCAGATCAGAGCGAACCTACTAATTTCTGGCGCAGAGAAGAAACCTTCAATAGACTGTCAATAATACAACAGCCGAAATGAACACCTTCAATTCTATATGATAATAATACCAAGGGCCAATGTAAGCGGCAAAAATTTAACTTTAAGTTAGAAGGAAGAGCAAAGGAACCTTTTGTCTGGCGTGGCCGTAGCAGGCGGGGGGTCGACTTGAGGGCCTGAGGTTGGTCGGGGTTCGCTAGGATGCACGTCACTGGGACCTCGTTTGAGCCCGTCCTCCTGGGGGGCCTGGGCGGCAGGCCCATCACAGCTCCGGCGCGTCCACTTAGGGAACATGTGCGCCAACTTGGGGGAATACGACGTGCATTTTTTCCATAGGTTTAGTGCGTCTGTCTCGTCGAACTGGTCCAGTGACTTCTTCAGGTTGGAGTGAGCGAAAGAAAAAGGACCGATGCTCGGTCTGGGCAATGCTTTAGAGGCTGCGCTGTTGTTGGCGGCACACTGAGCAGGAGGAGGCACGTCCGGCGCGGCAGTGTGGTGGTCACCGTCAGGAGGTTCTTGAGATGGTGTCGCAGCGCGGGTGTCCAGCCTGATTCTGAAGGTGCAGTTCTGGTCTGATGGGAAACAGTCGTGCCAGCCCTTGGACCGGCTACTGAACTTGCTCTGTAACAGCATCAACATCGACAATTTGGTTGATACAACTCAATAAATGATAAGAGAATCGTCGAATCAGCTAAAAATGCTAAACAGAAAGTGATGGAAAAGAATTTTGTAATACAATCGAATGTTTTGGAATAAAAACCACGTACACGACTATAAAAGACATTGGCTAAACAAGAGAATTTATTTTTCAGATAGTCTCGCAGTGGAGAACAGAAACCTGGAACTCCTCATAGGGAACTGCGTTACAGTCCATCACATGCAGGCGCTGAGCTTCTATTTTGATGACTGAGTCGAAGCCCTCGGCCTCTTGGATGAACTGAAGTCCCGAGAGCTGAACATTCACCAGCGCCACCTGCCACAGACAATGTAATAGAGTGCGATCATTATAACCTTCCTACGTCAGGGCCTTAACGTGAATGCTGTAATGCTGGCCACTTTCATCATTGCATTAAGAGGCGACTTAAACAACAACACTGATTCTTCTAAGATTCAAGGAGGAATATATTGAAAAATTTGAGACGTACCTCTAGAAAAAAAATCAAGCAGCGAGTGTCACGGACATATCTCCAATGGATATATTAAATTAATAGCGTAGTGCACACCAAACATCGGCAAATCATAAATAAATTAACTCACGTTGCCTTTCCTCCTGAAGGTGCTGGTGATCTCAGACAAGTCTTCACTGGGCGTCGTCTCCTCGAAGGCTTCAGTGGCCACTTCGACAGGGGCGCTGTCAGCTGAGGTGCGGTCGAGGCCTCTGAAGGCCGCCTCCACACCCAAGCCAGAGTCGGAACGTTCTGCTCCTGCCAAGTGATTGTTCTCAAGGTTCAGTAGCACGAAGTTCTCACTGTCAGAACTGATATCACTCTGTATGGAAATTGTGTCACTGATGTCATCAGGACTGGTTTTGACGGTTGTCTCAAGGGAGGTCATGAGGCTGGAGAATCCTTTCTTCATGGACGTAAAGCTGATGATGTTGAGGTTGTCTTGGATGGAGTTGGAAGCAGCGCCGTGATTGGCATTCAAACTGGATGGCGCAGCGGACGGAGTAGAAGGAGAGATGAGGTTTACTTGAGGCAACTGAGAGTAACCTGAAGCAACTGGCTCCTTGACCATAGCCTGGGTCGTGGAGATGGTCTTTGCGCCTGAGAGGTGACCGTCACTTTGAGATTTGGGGAGCTCTGTCTCAGTGCCATCGCGGGTCTCTAACGCGGCGGCCGCCTTTGCACTCAAACTGTGATCTGACGCCGAGCCGCGCATCTCCTTCAGAGAGTCCAGCTCTTCGCCCACCGTAGAGCTCGAGTCGGGCACGAAGCCCTCCATGTCATGCATGGAGTCTTTGGCGGGATGCAGGGGCGGGATGACGAATGTCAAGTCTAGCTGCGGTACGATGGCTGACACTACGAGGCTGTCCTCGATCTCACGCACCCAGGGCCTGTCTGCTGCCGCACCGTCATAGATGACGCGGGTGTCGCTCGTGAGGAAGGCGGAGAGCTCGGTAAGCATGTCCAGCTGCCGCATGAGAAACAGCAGCTGGAAGTGGTTGAGCTGGCAGCTGATCAGGCTGTGGCAATGGACCAAAACATTGCACGCTGCTTCCTTTCTGCCCACACTTTTCTCACGCTTCACTTGAGCGCTCGCGTTCCTGACGCTCGCAGGAACTGATGTATCCGTCGCAGGGAGAAGACCTGAATTTATAGGCCGAGGCTCTCCGTTAACTGGGCTATACTCATCCACAACGCCCGGCTTAATAGGAACTCCATCTTTGATCCCTGGCATTTTGAGGTGGATCCAGACCGAGAGCGGGAAGGCATCCACGAAGGGGAGCGGCCGCTGCCTGAAGGAAGGCGTGCCGGTGAACTCGACCCACAGCGGGTCGCAGTGCAGGAAGAGCAAGTCCCGCGCCTCAGTCCAGAGGCTCTCACGACTCAAGCGGCTCACGGCCTCGTACACAGCAGCGTCGGAGGCACAGCGCGGTGCTGGCCTGATGTTGTCCTCTCCTGCACACAACACAACTTTGATGTTAACAGCTCCAGGTGCCGCAGGTTCGCTAATATTTAGGGCTTAGATATTCAGAGCTCCAAAGCTCAATGTTTCGCTCATTTTTTTTTGACTTGAGAGTTCAGTAAAGCAAGCGGCAGGTGACCGACGAAAAGTAACCAGGATTGGAAATATGGCCCCGATGTTGTTGTCACAAATTGAACGAAAAAAGACGTATCAATAAGCAATTTCCCTCAATTGAATGATTTTAGACTTGAATTTAAAGTGTAATATATTAAATAATGGAAAGCAAATTATCAAAGGAACTACGGAATTAAAATTTAACAGCCAATTTTTCTGATATCAAATAAGTTTTTCTAGGTTAAACTGAAGAGTTGCCAAACTGCGCCGTGCTTATCAGGGAGGCTCTGTACTCACCCATTGCGTGCCGCACGAACTCCAACTCACCCATGGCATGTCGCACGAACTCCAACTCACCTATGGCATGTCGCACGAACTCCAACTCACCCATTGCGTGCCGCACGAACTCCAACTCACCCATGGCATGTCGCACGAACTTCAACTCACCCATTGCGTTCCGCACGAACTTCAACTCACCCATTGCGTTCCGCACGAACTCCAACTCACCCATTGCGTTCCGCACGAACTTCAACTCACCCATTGCGTTCCGCACGAACTCCAACTCACCCATTGCGTGCCGCACGAATTTACAGGCCACAGGAAGGAAGTCGTCCGCGCGAGCAGGGAAATCTGTTCGAGAAATAAAATTCCTTGAAGTGTTTCATAATATACCAATAGATTTAATTACAAATTTGAACATGAGTATAATATTTAAGGGGTTCACAATGTAAAGGAATCAATGCAGGTCTCTGTCATTAGTGTGAAGCGTGACCTGACGCAATTTCATAATATCCAATACATTTAATTACAAATTTGAACAAGACTAAAATATCCAAGGAGTTCACAATGTAAAGGGATCAATGCATGTCCCTGTAAGAGTATTATTCGAATAAATGTAAAGGAATCAATGCACGTCTCTGGCATTATAAATTAGTGAGACCTGAGGCAAAGAAGAGCTGCCCCGTGGTCTGTGCAGCCTCGAGGGTGGCACCGAGGGCAGCGAGGGAGCCTGGCGCTGAGGGGTCCGGAGGCCGGCAGTTGCTGAGGGTGACACGCGACGCCTGCACCTGCAGCCCTCGCGGCCTGTCCTTCTGGTGGCCCGTGACTGGCTCGGTGCTCGCCTCCAGCACCACCTGCACAGTGCCGTACAATCTGTTATATAAATAAATATATATATTCTATAAATACGTTATAAGTGTTCTATAAGGACACTGGAATGTTTCAACGACCTCTGTTGAAGCAACTATTATAATGTCTTTGTATAAATACGTTATTAGTGTTCTATACGGACACTTGAACACTTCAACGGCCTCCAGCACCACCTGCACAGTGCCGTACAAACTATTATATAAATAAATATAATAAATAAATATATATATATATATATATTAACTTCTTGTTAGTTTTTTCAATAAGTCGTACTAAATTCTTCGTAGGTGTTGGAAGATTGAAAATCAAATTACCGATAGACATTTTTAATATTGAACGACGTTTCGAATGTACAACATTCATTTTCAAGTTAAAGACGCATAGAGTAACAAAATTTGGGTTGACATATGAACGAAATCAAGTAAATTGGATACCTGTCTCTTATACACATCTAGATGTGTATAAGAGACAGGGTTACTTGAGATATTATGGGTCTGAGAGGATTGCCTTCTTTGTGGGTTTTAACGTTTCCGTAAAGGTAACCGGGAGAATAACTACCCACGATTGGGGTGAGCAAAACTTGTTTAAGAGAAGAAATTCTGCCAGCCTACACTAATATATATATATATATATATTTTCTATAAATACATTATCAATGTTTTATACGAAATACGTCCTTCTATAGATACGTTATAAGTGTTCAACACGGAGACTTGAACACTTCAACGGCCTCCAGTACCACCTGCGCATGAATAGAAATAGGAATAAATAAGATAAGAATAGGGGGATTTGGGGATTGAGATGCGGAGTTTGAATTAAGGGGTGGAGCTCGAGCCGCCTAGCACGCATGCGCGGGACCGGGGGAGTATTTAACAGGAGGTAGCGGGCGACCGCGGGCAGTCACGCGGCGGCGTTAGAGAGAGTCGGACAAACAGTGAGTGTTTAGACACAATCGTGGTGTTCGTTATTTTCTTGGATCACGACGTCTCTTCAGACAATTCAGCCGACCACGATATATATAATATAT